AAGTGAAAGGAAACATGGAGGCGATGAAGCACACGATGTATTTTGATAGACCTGGTAGAGACAATACATAACTGTTTTATTTTCCTAGTCAGATTTTTGCAAATGCGTTGCACAGTTGGAATAGTTTCTACTGCCAACAAAGATTGTAAGGTTGTGTTGGATAATGCTGCTATGTCCCAGTTTGTAAAGAGACACATCAGTATTATTTAAGTTTTAAAGGAACTTTCAGTTTGTGCATCGTGATTAGAAACTCGCACACAAAAATTGATCTGTACTCTTGACATTCCCTCTTTACTCCCACTCCTCAGTACTTGCATGACTGATCAGTTTCTGCCTTTTAAATGACCCATTAGCATTTTAATGTTGAACCATCTCTGCCTCCTCATTATTTGAATATAAATGAGACAGCTCTTAGTCCATTAGGGTGTCCAATGTTTGATCAATCTTTCCCCTCAAATTGTCCCAAATCAAATTATGAATCATTAATTTATATTATTAAATCATCCATTCAGTATAATTTCTTTCTTCCCTTTATCCGTTAATTTATGTCCTCAAATTGCTTAACGCATTCCTTCAAATTCATAATGTCATCACCTTTATTTAATTTGTCTTTTATTTGAATACAGTTTTATTTTTACCTTAGACTCTTCTCTTCTCTTCTTTTCTCACATCATTTTATTGATGTTACACCCACATGGTGGACAGTAAACAGTGACATATCTGTGATCTATGAATCTATGAATGTGATGAACTGGTCTAAGGACATATGAACAATAACAAGAACACAAACCACCCTTCGCTGTTATCAACTGTCCCATTCCCATCAACCCCTCCCACCCACATTCCCATAACATATTAAAGCTGCAATAGGAAACTTTTATAAAAATAACTTTTTGTTCCATTTTCTGAAATGTTCACTATATCCTGACATGAGACAGATAATAATCAGGTTCCTGTGGCTCGTTCTAGTGCTCCTTAGGCATTTGCAAGAATCCACCAGGCCCGAACAAAAACAGCTAATCAGATGGAAAGACACCTTGGGTTAAGATGTATCTTAACCCAAGATGTATCTTCTTGGCGGCTTAAAGATAGTTGATTGTTGAGTCTCATTCCCAGCGTTGATATTTGACGACCAGGAAATGAGACTCAACAAACAAATAGAGCGAAGCCTGCGAGCTAGTTCAGGCAGTCAACTCGAGCTGCGCTGCTATACACACATGAC